TCTGGCCGCCAGACCTGCCCCGGCGCGTCCGAGGGCCGGGCGGCTCGGACACCAGGCGGCGGCTGGTGCTCGGCCAGCACGGGCCGTGCTCGCACACGTACACGCGGGCCGCGAACGCCCGGGAGGAGAACCGCGGCCGAGCGCGGGGGGCGCGGGGCGAAAGGCTAGGGAGAGCTGACCGGGATTAGGCGCGGGGTTTCTCTACCCGTTCGGGGGGTGGAGGGTGAGGAGGGAGAGGCTATGTAATTTGCATACAGGAAAGCAGAGCTCAGTTTCCCCACTGGAGCGACCCCCAGCCCACGCAAACACACACACTCGCATCTCTGCTCCTACTTTGGTCCAGCCCAGGGCTACCCACCGACGCGAACTTCCAGAGCGGAAGCCTGCCCGGGAGTAGGAGGGTCACCCTGGCTGGCGCGGGCTGCGCCCCCAGCCCGCGTCCCTCGCCGCCACCCCTTCCCCGCGCCCTCCCACCCCACCCCACCCCGAGGGGTCTCCTCGGGTCTCGTCGGGGTCTGTGGCGACCCCGGCTACCTACCGCACAGCGCTGGGGGCGAGTCGGGCGAGCAGGGGCTGCGCGGGTCAGGCTCCATGGAGGAGCTACTGGGGCCTGGCGTCTCCGGCGCCCCGGACGTGCCCTCCCCGGCGTTCCGTCTCCATGCTCGGGCGCGGACGGGTCCGGCTGCTTGGACCGGCCTCGGCAGAGTTGGCGTCCCTGTCGCCGGGTCGCGCTCCGGCTGGGTTCGGCGGGAGCCTGAGCTCGGCGCGGCGGGAGTCCCGGTGCGGGAAACTTAGGCGGCAAGAGAGGGAGGTGGAAGTGGAGGAGGAGAGAGGAAGGAAGAAGGGAGCGAAAGCGGACGCGCCCGGCCGCTGCGCCAGACGGAGCGGGACTGCGCGCGCTGGCACTGGGTCCGGCAGTCCGGGCTCTCGGCTGCCCGCGGCCGCCGGCGGAGGATGGCGACGACTTAGACTTTGGGGGAGGAGACTGGGCAAGTCCTAGGGACTTGAACTTCAGAGATAGGACTCTGGCTTTTCATCAGAAGAAGAATGGGGAGAAGCTAGCCCAAGTGGCCGGCGGCCCGGGCTCCTGCGGGAGGGGTAGGGGAGGTAGGGGGGCGAGAACCCGGAGCTGCGGACGCTCGGAACCGCTGCGCGACGCCCGGAGCCGCGGCGCGGGCGCTGTCGGAGATGCTGCCCCACCTCGGGGGGACGCTCTGGCCCGAGCTGGGGTGCGGGAGGCACACGGCGGATTCTCCTTAAGGCCGCGCCTTGGCCGGCCAGTCCTCTGGACGCGAGCAATAACGGCGGCAAGCGGACCCACGGTTCCTCAAAGGCTCATTAATGCCGCCCGTTACGAGACGCCGCTCGCCGGCTCTCCGCCCGCCCAGCCCGGAGATGGGGCTCCTGCGGTGTCTCTGGCGGCCGCAGCACCCCCTCCCCGGGGACCGTTTGAGGACCGCGGCGGCCAGAGGAGTGGCGCGGAGGAGCGTTGGGCGTGGGTGCGCGCCGGAGGGTGCGGGGCACCCCCGCCCTCCTCGGGCGCGAACGCGGGGCGCCACCGACTTGTGGCTGCTGGGCCGGGGCGGGGGCGCGGCGAGCGGCCAGCCATTCAGCGCGCGGCAGCCGGGAGGACTGCGCGACCTTGCACGCTCCGCGCCGCGCCCGGGGCTGGGCCCAGCGCGAGAGGGGTGGCGGCTGCGGAGCGGCTGCTTTTAGGGTCTTGGCACCCCCTCCACTCCCCACACTTCGCCTCCACCTGCGTCCCCCCCAGCTCTGGCGCTCTGCTCGGACTCTCTCTGAGCGTCGCTCTCTGTTTCTGTCATTCTCTCCCTTCTGTTGCCTCTGTCTCCGTTTTCTCTTTTCTCTTCTCTCCTCTCTTTCTTGCCGCTTTTTTTTTTTCTCTTTCTGTAATCCAAGCCTCAGTCTCTCAGGACATTTCTGCCTGCTTCTTCTCACTGTGTGTGTCTCTAAGAATGTCTTTGTCTCTTTACTTCTGTCCCGCCCCCACCCCACCCCCACCCATGCCCTTTCCTCTCCCCTAGGATCTAGGGTCAGGCCTTTCTGGGTCCGCGGGGCCGCCAGCGCCTCCTGCAGATGCCTAGACTGGGGGGTGGGAGAAGTGTGGTGGGCCTTTTACCCAATTCCTTGGGTACCTGTGGAAGCCTACCCTTCGCCAGAATCTGGCCCGGAGTGATTCGCGCTGCAGGATAACATTTCTATAGGAATCTGTAAGAATGAGGTTGAAATCTCTCTCAGGATCGGGGTGGTGGGATGGTGGCATCCGAATACAATCGTAATTTTTCATGGATCGCGGGTCTCTCTTTCTTCAGGTCTCTGTGCTGGACACGCAGGACTCGGAGGTGTCTACACTAGCAGACCTAGGGCCAGAAACAACGTGAGCCCAAGAAAAGAGGCCTCAGCAAGGCCCTGCTGCGTTCCCATGGAAGTCTTTGGTCAGGACTCCAACCACTGCAGTGTCACCCACCAGAGCCACTTCCTCCTAGAGCAGACACTGGAACCCCACAGAGACAGGCACCTTGAACCAGATCCCCCCAGCCTCCAATTTAGATCCCCAGTACCAGCCAGTGCTTTGAAGGCTAGGCGCTCCCTTCCGGTTTAAAGGGCAAGTCTGAGTCGCACAGGTGGGTCTCAGCCTGTGGTCTCTTGGAATTCTTTGGGAGCCTATGCAGATAAGCCTGTTAAGCACACCATCTCTCATTTAAAGTCTGACAATTCACTTAGGCTTATGTTAGTCACCATACTTTCTGGGCTTTGTTTTCACTTGTTCGCCTTTTCATGCTCTTGAAACGTTCAAAAAGGAAAATGAAATTCTTAGAGCCACTCATGTCTGAGGCTGAAGGGTCAAAGTTAGGGCAAGGGAAGGAAGCCCTCTTTGACTATGAACGCACTGGAGGATTCAGGAAGCCACCCAAACTGGATCCTGGAAGGGACATGCCTTTCCAGATCTTCCCGGGTTGGATCAGGGAGCTGGAGTAAGTGATTGTCTGCTGGTTTACCTGCCTCTTCCCAGAATACCCAAAGGCAGTGGGGTCAGAGCTGAACTTCTGCTTGCTTTCTGGAAAGAGGAGCCAGTAAGGCAGGTTCCTTTTCTAAGACTTACTTCAAAAATATCCTACCTCTAGTGCCATTTGGCCTTCAAAAAAAAAAAATACTGCTTGTGAAATAGAAAGACGACCAAGGACTTTAAAACCTCTGTCTGAATGGGGCTGATTATTTAAGAAAGGCACCACAGGTACCCAGTAATGGGAACTGGCCTGAGGCTTTGCTCTATGACACAGCGCACAGTGCACCAAAGAGCTTTCTATGTTAATGACCTGAGACCCTCTGCCCAGGCATTCCACTCTTAGGGGATCCTTTTTGCCCAGGCTGATAAAACAGCGGTGATTTCCATTTTGTGTGTCTTAGCAGGAGTTTTTATTTCCTGTATTAATCAAGCGGGGCGGG